TTATGCTCCGAAGTAGCTTAAAATGCCATCAAGTAATGCGCAAAATTTTATAACAATGTACATCGATTCATAACAATGTACAACAATTCATAACAATGTACATCAATGGCTGCTTTCAACATTTCGTTTGTTCTCTGGTGCCTGTTAGACTTTTGCTTTTCAAACATATAGATTTCAATACGCATGGACCATCTGCCGACATAATATTCATAGAACATGATTTTAAATTGAAACTGCTTAATTTTTCAATGCATTCAATCTATCAATATATTATTTAATATAATGCTTTTTTTTAAAAGATATCTACATTGCTAGAGAATCTCATATAATAAACTAAGTTATCGTGGGTGAACAAAAAATTATGAAGAGAAGAGGGCCACATATGATTTTTTTTTTAACTGACCACGTGATAATTTTCTAAAAAATCTTTCTAGTGTGGACCGCACCGGGTGACACCAACCCTAGCTACTACGCCAGTGAACTAAAGCCCTAACTCTATTAAAAGACGAAACGGCAAACTGTCGAGCCAGAGCTTCATTAAGTCTTCCACAACGTACTCCCTAACTAAGCACTAGAAATTTTTCTTCATCCTTTCTGTTATTATTGTTACAGTTTGCCAGTGTTCACACTGATTATTGCTATTCACAGACTTTTACTGAGATTCATTCACAGTGTGGACATTGGAAGAAATGCACTATTTTCCCCATTGAAATGAAATGCTTGGTGGGCCGCCGATGCAATTAACAGTGTTTAGTTTATTTTTAAGGCAGAATCGCTGATTGTTTGATGTGCTCTGTGTGTCCTAAGGGACAGAACTTTACGGTTTTCTGTGATTGGAAAGAAGCTTAATCTAATGTCATCATTTAAATATTCAATGAACAGTGGATCGCGTTTTAAAATTTTTTTAGAATTAAAATCGAGTTTCTAATTTTTTACAACGGTATCACCATTATTGAATTGTAAAGTCAATTTTAACCTCAAATTGTAAAGTAAATTTTAACCTCAAACTGTAAAAGAAATTTTAACTTTAAATTGTAAAGTTTATTTTAACCTCAAATTGTAAACGAAAATTTAACCTTAAATTGTAAAGTCAATTTTAACCATAGCTTCTACTTACTTGTTTATCTGTGTTGAATCCAAACCATTTTGTTTTCTCATCATACGCCACTTAAAACTCAAATGTTTGTTTGCTTTCAACGTAGCGGTCCTCAAATGACGCTCCAGTTAAATTTATTTGTAAACAATTTTTTTTTTAATGAAAACTATACACCCCTAAAAAATTAAAGTTGAATTTAAATTTGATCATTGGAATTTTAATAAATAAAATTGGGGCAAACATTTATTTATTTTATTTTTAATTTCTTGTTATATTTTCTATTTGTTCCTGTCTGCTGACGAAGGCTCTTAGCCGGAACGTTCTTCTTTGATCGTCCCGTCTTTCTATTTTAAGCTTCCACACAACTTGTTATTCTATTTCCTTCGTAGAGATTTAAATCAGTGCTTCGTTTATTACTACTTTGTAACTTATCTAGTAACTGATTCTTCCAGAAGGACGTAACATGGCGTTTGGGGTGGGGTGGGGTGGGGTCGAGTGTATAATAGTTTGAGATCTCTCAAGCTAGTCATTCATTACTTGCTCAAAGTCTCCCCAAGAAAAAAACAAATCAATACCCTGGGTGGGGAAACCTGATCTCAGCTGTCAGTTTCTTTGTGTTATGTATGGAGGCTTGTCACTGGAACAAAGTGCACATATAAAGCCTGGTCACAATGAATTGGTGAGAACTATCTTGGTGATAATTATTTTGGTGAGAATTATGTTGGTGAGAATTATTTGGGTGAGAATTTAATTGTTTAGACCTATTTTGGTCCGAATTATGTTGAGAACAATCATGTTATTGAGAATTATGATGGTGGGATTTTATATTGGTGAGAAGTTATCCATTGAGAATTATGATGGTGGGATTTTATGTTGGTGAGAAGTTATTCATTGAGAATTGTGATGGTGGGATTTTATATTGGTGAGAAGTTATTCATTGAGAATTATGATGGTGGGATTTTATATTGGTGAGAAGTTATTCATTGAGAATTATGATGGTGGGATTTTATATTGGTGAGAAGTTATTCATTGAGAATTGTGTTGATGAGAAGTAATTCAGTGAGACTTGTGTTAATGAGAAGTAATTCAGTGAGACCTGTGTTAATGAGAAGTAATTCAGTGAGAATTATGTTGGCGATAAGAAAGTTTTTGAGAAAATCAAGTGACCTTGAAGTAAGATGGTCAGAAGTATAACTGTGGAATTAATCAAGAATGTTTAAGTTGAAATCAATGACAGAACAATTTTTCTTTTTTTTTTTTTTTTGTTTTTTTTTTTTTTTTTTTTTTTTTTTTTTTTTTTTTTTGTTTCTTTTTAAGTTTTTACAAAATTTCTTTGCTTTTCTGTATTATCCATTTGAAAAGCCGCTTAAGATAGTAAAAGTCGAAATTAAATTGTTGACATTACACGACGTCATAAATTGTCTCGTCTATTCCAGAAAATGAGTTGCATTTTTTTAAAAACTCAGTTGTTTGGTGAGTTGTGTTTTTCCTTATCATCATGTTAGTCTTTCTCTCTCCCTCACCAACTCACTTAATGAAATAAAGGAAATGGTGTCCATTTAACATGTTTAAACTGTGACTATTATTTAGATGGAGTAGAAGTAAAGAAAGGTTCCTGCGATGTGTGTACATTAATGACCGGTAGAGACCATCCGGCAGAAACGTTTGAGAATATACCCGGCAGAAACGTTTGGGAATGTACCTGGTAGATAGATATGGCCTGCTTTAATCGCAGGTTGTGAGTAATCCCTCACTACTTTACTTGGCTAACAAAACTCACAGGTTGTGAGTACTCCCTCGCTACTTTACTTGGCAGACAAATCTCACAGGTTGTGAGTACTCCCTCTCTACTTTAATTGCCGGACAAATCTCACAGGTTGTGATTACTCCCTCTCTACTTTAATTGCCGGACAAATCTCACAGGTTGTGAGTACTCCCTCTCTACTTTAATTGCCGGACAAATCTCACAGGTTGTGATTACTCCCTCTCTACTTTAATTGCCGGACAAATCTCACAGGTTGTGAGTACTCCCTCTCTACTTTAATTGCCGGACAAATCTCACAGGTTGTGATTACTCCCTCTCTACTTTAATTGCCGGACAAATCTCACAGGTTGTGAGTACTCCCTCTCTACTTTAATTGCCGGACAAATCTCACAGGTTGTGATTACTCCCTCTCTACTTTAATTGCCGGACAAATCTCACAGGTTGTGAGTACTCCCTCTCTACTTTACTTGGCAGACAAATCTCACAGGTTGTGAGTACTCCCTCTCTACTTTAATTGCCCGACAAATCTCACAGGTTGTGATTACTCCCTCTCTACTTTAATTGCCGGACAAATCTCACAGGTTGTGAGTACTCCCTCTCTACTTTACTTGGCAGACAAATCTCACAGGTTGTGAATACTCCCTCTCTACTTTACTTGCCTGAAAAATCTCACAGGTTGTGAGTACTCCCTCTCTACTTTACTTGGCAGACAAATCTCACAGGTTGTGAGTACTCCCTCTCTACTTTACTTGCCTGAAAAATCTCACAGGTTGTGAGTACTCCCTCTCTACTTTGCTTTCCCGACAAATCTCACAGGTTGTGAGTACTCCCTCTCTACTTTCCTTTCCCGACAAATCTCACAGGTTGTGAGTACTCCCTCTCTACTTTACTTGCCCGACAAATCTCACAGGTTGTGAGTACTCCCTCTCTACTTTACTTGGCAGACAAATCTCACAGGTTGTGAGTACTCCCTCTCTACTTTACTTGGCAGACAAATCTCACAGGTTGTGAGTACTCCCTCTCTACTTTACCTGCCTGAAAAATCTCACAGGTTGTGAGCGTTCTCTTTTTTCTTTACTGGCCAGAACAAATCTCTGACCATTCACCCGCGTATGTTCAGAACCAGTAAAATTGTATTCCCCCCCACCCCCCAATGATTTCTACATATGACTGTTATCTATAACATAAAGACGTAGAACAATTTATCAAACAATTTAGTGTTTCTTTATTCGATAAAATAACATGAATTGCATCAGACAGAAAAGAAATGCAATTTTTTTTTTTAAAATAATATTAAAAGATTCACTGGTTATTGAAAAGGCTGTTCCCCATTTTCTTAACTCTAAACTCCAAAGGGAAATAACTGATGTGCGTGTGTGTGTGTGGGGGGGGGTATTTTTTTTATTCTTAAAGCACAATTAACATCCCGTGACTTACAATGAAACACACTCTCACAGTAAACTAGTTACCAGCTCTTATTGTCTTTTGTTCCTTTCTTTTAAATGCTCACTAAAATTTAGTTGGGGGGTCGTTCGCAAATTACATCACGCTCAGAGGGGGTGAGGGGGGGGGGGG